CCAGAATGACTCACAGAACTCAGGAGAGTGCTATAATTACAACTGAAGTTTTTTTTCTTCAATATTTATTTGAAAGAGAGAGAGAGAGAGCAATCTTTTTTAAAAGATTTCTTTATTTATTTTGAGAGAGAGCAGGGGAGGGGGAGAGAGAGAGAGAGAGAGAGAGAGAGAGAGAGAGAGAGAGAATCCCAAGCAGGCTTTGTGCTGTCAGTTCAGATGAGGGACTCAATTTCACCAACTGTGAGATCATGACCTGAGCCGGAATCAAGAGTAGAAAACTTAACCAACTGAGCCACCAAGATGCTTCACAATTGCAGTTTTTATATAATAAAAGGATATATATCAGAACCAGTCAAAAGAAGAGATACATAAAACAGGATCTGGTACTGACAGGATTCCAAAGGCAAAGCTTCTGGGACCTCATAGATGCATTACCTTCATGGCATTAATTGTGGCAATGTGTACATGGAGTATCACAAGCCCAGGAAGGTCACCTGAGCTTAAGGTTCAGAGTGTTATTGTAATTTCATTATATAGGCATAGTTGACTAAATTATTAGCCACTGTGTTTGAACTCAATCTTCAGCCCTCTTCCTCTTCCTGGAGGTCAGGTTGATATTACCTAGCTCAAAGTCCCAACCCTCTAATCACATGGTTGGTCCTTCTGGAATGGCTGGTTCCTTCCATAAGATATCAGTGTGAACAGCCCCACCCTGAGTCAAGCCTTTAGCAAAAGCCATTGATGCCCACCATGAGTCGCCGTGTTAGCATAAACAGTTCGGTATGGTGCAAAATTCCAAACATTCAGAGGTTACCTCATAGGAACTATGGACCAAGGCCAATCAAATTCATTATTGCATATTCCTTCACCACTGCCCCCTCTCTAGAACTATTACTACCCAACATATTGTATTTTCCTTATTTATCTTGTTTATGGTCTATCTTCCTCAAAGAATGAATACTGCAAGGGGCAAGAGTTTTTATTTTTGTCTTTGTTGATTTTCTGTGACTTAAATAAACCTGAAGTCGTATGCATTCAGTATTTGTTGAATGAATAGATGAATTTTTTTTGCTAAATTCAGATTCTCTAATAGCCCTTCTACTCTGTAAATTAATATACAATTTTATTCAAGTGTGACTTAACATAGAATATAAATCTATAAACATTTTCATATTTAAGAAATTATCCAGTGTCATCTGTAGCCCTCTCACAGGAGTGGAATATTTCAGATGGCCTTTCAATTTACAACTACTAATCATGGCTTTATCTTACTAGAAATATATTCACTTTAAAATCATTGTATAGCTTTCTTAGATACCATTGTCTCAAAATTCTTAATCAAAAAGAATCTTAATTCTTATGTTAAGATTGATAGGCAATCCTGGGATTTATAATCCCAAGAAAACTTGATGCACAGAGCTGAATGCATACTTTGTCTTCATATCAGGCACCCTGAGTCAATTAAAGTCTTTTTTATAAGTCTATTCATAAAATAAGACATCAAATCTTTGCTCAAATATCAATGACAAGCAGGTAATTTCCTGAAATACAGATGTTAGGAAAATACTCTGCCTTTTTGGTTAAACAAGCTGTGTCTTAAAAATTTTCCAACCTACATAAGAGGAAAAGTGTAATGAATGATATTTAGACCGCTTCTGTATACCACAAAGTAGGGGAAAAAAATCTCATAGTAAAAACAGAGCAGAGATTTCTCTATTTTATAAAAAAAAAAATTTAGGTATTAGCACTTTGAAGTCTCTATTTTGTGACAAGAACAGGAAATATTTTTAAAAAACAGCAAAGCCAAGATGTTTAAATATATCTTATAGTTTTGAGACTAAAATTATATAGTGTTTCAGAATTGTGTATCTGGAAAATACGTTGTATTTCATAAAGTCTTTAATTGATGCGGATAGAAAGTGAATTATATCTCTTGTTAAGTTTTAAATTCTTTGAAGATTTCTTTCAAATTATACAGTAAAATGCTCCATCGCTTCAATAGCTATTTCAATCACTTTTTGAAAACTATATCTGCATCCATAGGCAAAGGAATTTTATTATCTCTGAATTGCATTCTGGAATTTCATGAGTTATTTCATAGGACAAAGTTTGTCAAATGAACACGGGCAGTGCCAATAGTGCTTTGCTCTTGAACTCAAGTACGAGTCAGCTCACTTTAAGTCACCATTTGCAGCAGCCAGAAATGAATGAGCAGTTAAAATCGTGCCATAAGTTAATTAGAGTGGAATTAGAAGGAAAGTGGGCAATTTAGGAACATAAGAATTGCTGTACCGAATCAGACCAATGGTTCTCCTGGTTTAATATCCAGCCTCCAGCAGCTGTACTTGTTAGCTTCTAAAGCTTTAAAAGAAAGGGAAGAGACTACATAATTCACCTAGACAAGTGTGCCATCTGTGATCCAGAGAAATTTTCTTCATGACCTCTCTCAAATAATACCCTAAAGCAGGAGGTTTCAATCCTGTTATGATATTGGTTTAGCTTGAATAGCTCTAGTTATTAATAATTCTTTTTAACCATCCAATTCCTACATAAAATCAACTAGTCCATCAAGAAGCTATTTATCTCCAAAGCTCCTGAATTCATGGTTGAATATGTCTACTTTTATGATAAAATATGAATTTATGGTGCTTATTCGATACAAGTTCTTGATGGCAAAATGTGCCTGTAGATAACCACGCTGAATGAATGCCTGCTTCTCTTTCCAAAATCTACTGAGTTCACAGGCTTTTGGAAAACAAAACAAAACAAAACAACAACAAAAAAACCTTGTATCTGCTGTCACTACTCCGAACTTTCTATCCATACCAATCTACAGAACTATTAGAATGACAAAGAAATTTGTGCATTGAATTTTTAGAAAAGTTCAACTAGAGGTTTTCTTACATAATTTTACTTAAGGTAGACTCTAGGAGAAAGGAATGAATTACTTATCCTTATCACTTTAGTCTTCTGTTTATGATAGAAATACCTGTGACTATAGGTTCTTGATTATTCTGGATAACTTCCAGGTCAGTATTTCTAAAATGTTATGTTCAAAATAAGCCATTTAGTCAAAAATCCCTTAAGAATAATAAATGCCTGAAGTTGTACTTCAAACCATTTTCCTAGGCTGTCAGATGTTAATGCAATAACACTGATATCCTGAAGCTGTAACTCTAATAGGATGTCCTTTATCCTATATTCCAAGAAAACTAGTTTTTTCATTGTTATTTGACCTAACATGAACACTCATTATTTATACTTATGTTAATTGTTTTCCCTTTCTCTAGTTTTTCCAACTTCTCTTCCTGGATCAGTTCTTTATTTGCTCTTCTTATGTCAGTTAGAATCTCCTTCCTTCAGGCAATTTTCTTGCAAACATGTAGTGATTGTTCCCTCTTCTGACAATTTGTGTCCCTTTGTTTATGTTTGGTTTAGGCTACCATATATTGATTCTTTGTTTTCACGAATGTTCTTCCTTGCACATATGTACATATGTTTCCCATATTTGTTTGTATTTCTAGATCTTAGAGCAGAGTCTAATTCATAATCATAGCATAAAAGTTCATTAAAGGGAAATCTAGGGACTCACCAGTGGCTATTTGGAGTCTCAAAATGTTTACTCTTTGAATTTGTGTTTGTGTGATCTAGGTAAGAACATATTATTGAGTGCTACAAAGGTGCAAATAAACCCCAAACTATAAATTTCTAAAAAATAGAGGGGTGCCTGTGTGGCTCATTCCGTTGAGTGCCCCACTTCAGCTCAGGTCATGATCTCATCGTTCGTGGGTTTGAGCCCCGCATCGGGCTCTGTGCTGACAGCTCAGAGCCTGGAGCCCGTTTCAGATTCTGTGTCTCCCTCTCTCTCTGCCCCTCCCCCACTCATGCTCTGTCTCTCAAAAATGAATGTTAAAAAACATTTAAAATTTTTTTCTAAAAAATAGAGACAAGTGTTATTGATTTAAAAATCACAATGAAAGATATAGGAAATATCAGCACAAAAGGAGAATATAAAAAAGAGAATTGGAATTGACCTAGACCCATGCTATCAGGAAATGAAGGGATTCCAAGCAGAGTAGCTGTGACAAGGGCAAGGAAGTGAAATAGAGGAGGGAATTACTAAGGAACTGTCCCTAATTCCTGTCGGTTGCCTTATGCAGAGACTATCTGAAAATAAGCTTGGAAATATGGGTGGCACCATATTAATTAAATTTATCTGAACCCACAGTGAATCACTGAAACAATTTTTAATCAGTGAGCAGATCTATAAGAATGTAAGATCAACTTAAAAGTGAGACTGGGGCACCTTGGTGGCTCAGTCAGTTAAGCATTTGACTCTTGATTTTGGCTCAGGTCATGATCTCAGGGTTCATGGCTTTGAATCCCTCATCAGGGACTCTGCACTGACAGTGCAAAACCTACTTGGGATTTTCTGTCTCCCTCTTTCTCTGCCTCTCCCCCCGCCTCTCTCTCTCTCAAAAGAAATAAATGAACCTTTATCTTTAAAAGTGAGACTGAAGGCAGTTTCCTATAGTAATGAAGTTATTGCATAATAAGATGTGTAATCAGTCACAAACTCAGACAGTAATGACAGGAACAAATAGAACAACATAGATGCAAGATATTGAGAAAATGGTATTAATCTTCATTGTGAAAAGATTGGATCTGAGGTAAAGGAATAAAAGGAAACAAAAAGAATACTGACCCTTCAAGCTTGTTTAAGCTTGTCTATTCCTGAAATAGAAAAAAAAAATTTTTTCTTCCTTGTATGTTAAGCCAAAATGCATGGAAAAAGTTTTTCTTTAAATTTTAATTCCTACACTTTTAACTAATTTAATGCTTCAAGTTACTGAAAACATTCTACCCAGTTCATTTTTACTTGACCTCATCAAAACAAATCCACATTTTTTCTGACTTTTTAAAAGCTCTTGTTGGTTTTTGAGAACAATATTCTAACAATGATTTTAGTAGAACTACACTGTGTCTCTTTAATTTTTTAGAAATCCAAATGGAACCCAGAACAACAGCACACGATGGCCTGCCTTCAGAAGCACCGATCAAAAATATTTAACCTTGAATGCAGAGTCACCAAAAATACACACTAAACTACGTGCTCAACAATGCCGATTCTGGACACTATTTTTTCCCAAAGTCTTGGAAATGACAGGTATGTGCTTTTTAGTAGTTGGTCAAGTAACTGATTGTGGATTATGTAAAAGGGAGAAAAGGTAGACTATCCAAGGGACAGTGATGGTATTAACTTGTGATTTTACAATTACTTGATTCCAGTGAGTAGATAATTTTAACAACTTTCTTCCAGCAAGTTTAGATGTGTTTTGAGGTCTTACTATATGAGTAGCAGTTTAGTAGTAAAGAAAACTAAAATAGAAATTCTCCCGTAGAGGAACATAAAACGTGGTAGTGGAACTAAAATAGGGCACTGCTTGCTAACACATTAGTTAGTCTATGTGTAACTAATTAATGGATAAATGAACAAATGAATATATAAAGAAGGCAATGTATAGAACTAATAATATAATTAATAAAATATAGAATGAAATATAATTTATACTCAAAGAGAGGTAAAAACAAATTTATTGATAAACAGAACTCTTGATTTCTAAGGGTGGAAAAAACCCTCCAGAATTAAATGTTTAAAAGCAGACTCCAAACATTTCTAAATATTCTGAGGTTAGAGATATTTATCTTGAACACATACATGTATTCCATAATACAATAAACAAACAATAATTTAGTTAACTAATCTTTAAGAAAGGATTCCATAAGCTTATACAAGGAAGTGCTAGGAAAACTGGTCCATATTATTATGTTATTTCAAAACTCATCAGTAAGAAGATATTTAAATCAACTCGAGCAATCAGCTTGAATGATCGCCTCTTCTGTGAGGAAAATGACATGTGTATCTCACTCACTTGCTGGTTTTAAAACGCCCAGCTGTTTCTAACCCATGTGACTCCTCAGGTCTTTATTTTTTAAGTAAAAGTAATTGACTTTCAACCATCAGACATATTGCTGCCCCATTCCTTTAGACTTTACCACTCTGTTCATCATAATACTCTGCAATTTTCAGGCTGTGTTAGATACCGCAATATAGTAGCTGTTTTGGTTTAATGTTTAGAGAGGTTGGGGGTTAGTTTCAGGCAAATATGGGCATCTCAGAGCTATATTTGATTGTTTAATATGTGTTTTAATTATCAGACATTACTCACCAAAATTATAATTATGTACTCCATCTGTTTGGGAGATGTTTCTGATATACCCGTGCTCTGTGTATTACCAAATGTTCTGTGACATAATATATATCCAGAGATGGGTTTCTGCATCCCTTGGCAAACCTACAGTGCTGCCCTTGTGTCCTCCGGGTGTGAATAACAATGAGGTAACATGTTTAAACTGCCAAGAGACCAAAAGAGGTACCATTTAACATATCACAGATGGCACATTCTTAATCTTTACTTAAAATATTTTTAAATGAGAAGGTTGTACTTGAGGGACAATGAAAGGGGAGTGGGGAGGATTTTCAATGACCAACTTATCATAAGCCAAATTGACTTGTTCTGGTTTGAGCTTGTGCAGCCTATTGTAATTTATTTGTTGACAAAATAAAACTTCAGTATCAACAATTTTTGAAGATGTACTTCAAAATCTCTATCTTTAAATAGTGAATTGTCATAAAGCAGATTGAATAAACAAACTGTTAAGTTTTTGGCTAGCTGCCACTCCTTCCTATCCAGTGCTGAACCACTGCTGTTTGGAAATACCACACCTTGCTCTGGGTTTGTACAGTGCTTTGGAATAGTTCCAAAGTGTCTTTAAAAAACACAATTTTATACTTTAGCATTTTTCAGATAATTCTCCCCAAAAAGTTATATTCAATATATTTTATAAAATTTAAAGTAAATGCATGATATGATTGTTGTAAAATCAATGTCTTCATTAATAATCAACAACTTTTTTTACATTTAAACAAAACCAGTTTGAAGTTACATGTTTTTAGGTTTTATAAATAAATAATGTAGGGGGATTAAAAAGATTAAGAAAACATGTTCTTACCATATTTTGTGTATTTCAAGTTGCAAAACCTCATACATTTCAATCTTTGATATTTTGCAAATTGGGGTTATTCAGATGACTTGTGCTGAAGTTTCTATGGCAATATTATTAAATGCACACACACACACACGCACACACACACACACACACACACACACAAACACACACAACAGCTATACACATAAAGGAAAAAAAACTAACTGGATTTCTTAAAAGGAGAAATATTCACCTCACTCAAGATGGAAACCCAATGAGCTTTATAAGTACCACTTGAGCAGTAGTTTACTTTTGAGCAATAAATGTTCTCAAATAAAATGATCCTTAAGATTTGTTTAAACACATGAATTCTAGCACTTAACTTTCAGACTATACTTCAGCATATGCCTGTGCTATTATTGCATGCACCTGCAAGAAATAAAATGTGCAGTATTTGTTTCAGATGTTATCAACAATTTTCACTCAAAATGTAACTGCACAGTACTTCATAATTGTTTGAAAAAGAAAGAAAAGGAAGTAGAGAAATGATCCATTCAATGTCAATAAGATACCAATATTTTTCACTAAAAGTGAAAGAGTAAATTTACCTAAAGGAAAAACCACTTTGACCTTCAAATCTTCCCAATGAAGAAAAGCGTTAGATCTAGTGTTGTTTTCCTTTGTTGCATTTTAAAAATACAGACATACATAGAAGATATTGCCATTTGGTTTCAGACCACCACCATAAAGTGAATATCACAATAAAGCAAGTCAACGAACTTTTTGGTTTCCAAGTGCACATAAAAGTTATATTTACAGTATACTGAAGTCCATTAAGTAGTAGACATAGTAGCATTGTGTCTAAAAAAATAGTGAACACATCTTAATTTAAAAATACTTTATTGCTGGGGTGTCTGGGTGGCTCAGTCAGTTAAGCGTCCGACTTCAGGATTCTGTCTCCACCTCTCTCTCTGCCCCTCCTCTGCTGGTTCTCTCTCTCTCTCTCTCTCTCTCTCTCTCTCAAATATAAATAAACATTTAAAAAATTGAAATAAAAATACTTTATTGCTAAAAACACTATCATCTGAGCTACTTGATAGCATTTGACCCACAGTAGAACTTTCAAAATTGGGGTCAATCCTCTCAAACCCTGCTGCTGCTTTATCAACTAAATTTATGTAATGTCTAAATTCTTTGTTGTCATTTCAACAATCTTCACAGCATCTTCATCAGGAGTAGATTCCAGTTCAGGAAATGACTTTCTTTGTTCATCCATAAGAAGCAACTCCCCATCCTTTACAGTTTTATCATGAGATTGCAGCAATTCAAATAGAATAATAATGAAAAGTTTGAACTATTGCAAGAAGAACCAAAACATGACATAGAGACATGAAGTGAGCAAATACTGTTGGGAAAATTGTGTGGATAGACTAACTTGATACAAGGTTGCCATAAACTTTCAATTTGTAAAAACGCAGTATCTGCAAAGCACAATAAAGTAAAGTGCAATAAAATAGGTATGCCTGTAAGTGATGTCTTCATAAAGCCTAGCCTGAGCTTATGGTAATTCACTCTGTAGTATTAGTATAGATATAGTTCACTCTAATCCCACACTCAGAATTATAACAGGAAAATAAATGTGTTTCTGATCTGTCTCATAAAGAATTATGCATTTCTTGGTAATTTTAGTAATTGATTAACAAATAGGAAAATAAGTAATGGGGACAAGAGAGATTTTCAATGAAATCTCAAAGTACATGAATCACTTTTTTTTTATTATAATCATCAGAACAATTCAATATCCATTTTAATCTTTTCTTCTAACTTTACCTCCATTTATAATTTTGAGTCAACTCACCTCTCCTGTATTCCTTCTTACCTCCTTCAACTTGATTAAATAGACTCCACTCTGGTGAAATATGCTCACTCTTTTTAAAATTTTTTTTTTCAACGTTTTTATTTATTTTTGGGACAGAGAGAGACAGAGCATGAACAGGGGAGGGGCAGAGAGAGAGGGAGACACAGAATCGGAAACAGGCTCCAGGCTCCGAGCCATCAGCCCAGAGCCTGATGCGGGGCTCGAACTCACGGACCGCGAGATCGTGACCTGGCTGAAGTCGGACGCTTAACCGACTGCGCCACCCAGGCGCCCCTGCTCACTCTTTTTTAATTGGCAAGACAAAAAGTAGCTTTATTAGTATTACTCTTTCTGTAAGGAAGAAAGCCTGACTCTTTCTTTTTCCAAGTGAGACAACAATGTGGACAAATCAAAGAGCATGAAAGTCCTGAAAAAGTTGTGTCAATATATTTATGAACTACTAGTATTGATCTAGCTGTACATGGATTCAATAGAGAGCAAAGTTAAGAATAAATTTTTGTAATAGGGCAGTAAATTCATTTTTGGAGCTCCCAATAGCTGTATCGAGCTTGATTTTATAATGTACATACCAGCTGATTTATCCTTCACAGTAACACTGCACAATAGTGAACACCAACCCCATTTACAGTTGGAAAACTAATTTGAAAAGTTAAGAATTCTTGCTATGTCAGAAATATAATAAGTGGTCAAGCTGGAATTTAACCCACATCAGTCCAAAGCCTAAATAATGTATTTTATTTCACATTATAGTACCTTGTTAACTACAAGATGATACATCTACATCTCACAGATGATCAATCTATAGCCACTTAAGTAGTATTCCAGTTTGGAGGAAGAGGAGAAGTAAGAGGAAGAATAAGAACTAATTTTGGTTTGATTTATGTCATGGATTCAAAATTTTTGTTATCTTTTTACTAAGGTGTATTCAGTTCTTCTGAGTTGTATTAGAAAAAAATCAAATGTTTCATATTTTATTGTCTTAGTCAATGTTCAGTATTATTAAAGAAAAAAATTATTAAGGTTTACAATGCATTTGTGCACTAAAAAGCAAAGTATAGTGTTTGATTATGATACATAAGGAAATAAGTTTACATTTATATGAATTAATGGATTTGGCATCATTCTATGTACAAGAAAAAAAATTAAATCTAAGACTTTTTTTCTGAGTATTAAAATTCATGGTGTAAGTGCTAGATTACCAATCATTTCTTTTTTTTTTCATTTATTTCTTATAACAAAAATTTTGTTCTTTCTGAACTTTAGAGCCCTTATTTTGCATAACACTTAAAACAGCATTTAATTATAAAAAATATCATAGGAGTGGATCATTTGGCATGATATTTAATGTCTTTCACATCTAATGTTTTTTTAGAAAAGTTCTATTATTCACAAAATAATTACAGTCATTGACCTTTTAAAAGCCATTTTTAAAATGGGAAATTTTTGTATATATTCTCAAATATTTATCCAAAGTCCAAGCATTATGAACATTTCAAACTTAAATATATCTTAAATTACAGGGGATATTTTAGTAGCTGTGTAAATGTTTTAAATATTTTGATTTTCATATAAACTAAAAATAAATCACTGAATGTGCTCCATTGTTAACAGTATGAATGAAACAAAGACATATTTTCATGTATAATGTAGTGAGATCATATGAACTGCCTTCTCCAAATTAATATCTTACAAAGTTATAATTAATTTCAAAAATTCCTAACTGAAAAGTATATAATTAAAACACTGTCAGTCTTTATTCTCAAGGTAACTGAAATAACTCAAAATGCTGTTTTTAATTCAATGACTATAGCACAGCATTCTAAGAGTTTAAAAAGTAAAACAACAAATGTGTAAAATACTTAGAGATTTAAATAACTTAAACAATCTTCTAGCTTTATCATATATATTAATATTAGGAGGGGCTTCTGGGTGTCTCAGTAGGTTAGACATCTGACTTTGGCTCAGGTCATATCTCAAGGTTCATGAGTTTGAGCCCCACATCAGGCTCTGTGTTGACAGCTCTGAGCCTTGAGCCTGCTTCAGATTCTGTCTCCGTCTCTCTCTGCCCCTCACCCACTCACACTCCTTCTCTCTCTCTCTCTCAAAAATAAATAAACATTAAAAATTTTTAATATTAGGAACATATATACATAATTTCAGAAGTTTGTGTTCAAGAGTTTCTATTGCTCACAAACTTTATTCTTTAATGTAATAGATTTTCAAATAAATCAAGGTTTCAAGGTGCCTGTAGTACACATAGACTGTTTTTGGTTCATTGCCTCACATTATTTCTGACATAAACACTCCTTTCTCCTGACACATGCATACACTTTGCAAGCTACTGAAGAGCAGAGATTTTCTTAGTCATCTTTCTAATTTGTAAAGCAATTAATAAACTGCTTTCATGTAGTAGTTTCAATAAGCTGCTTTCAATGAGTAGGCATTGTTTGGAATTAAAATAACTCATATAGGGTGAGTATAAAATCTTCATGGAATGTCAATTACAACGTTACCCTTATGCATTAATAAATATATATAAATATTTTCATCAGAAATAATAGTCTGTTGTATCATACATAAATGAAATGCATTAAATGAGATTTCTGTTATGCAGAGGGGTTCAAAAAAAGATAACATCTATATATCTTCTTAGAAACTAAATATATGTTATGTAATATAATTTGACATAATATATCAATTCATGTTCACATTTTTATGATATATTCAATTCACATATATATTATTTGCATTTCCATGTAAAGTATAAAATTTTATTAAAGCTTTTCAGGTAGCGAAAGAAGCTGATAATAAATAATGAAAAGTAAAAAATTACTGCACAGTGTACTTGGAGAAAATAGCGTCTATAATCAAAATTATTTTTCAATTAATGTAAACAGATTAAAATTTAGATTAATACAACTTATTCCATGTTTTACAGGAAATATTGATGAAGCAGAACGAGAATGGAGAGCAGGATTCTATCGCTGGAACAATTACATGATGGACTGGAAAAATCAATTTAATGATTATACTAGCAAGAAAGAAAGCTGTGCAGGTCTCTAATTAATAGATTTACCCTTTATAGAATGTTCATTTTCCTATAGATCAAGGTAAAAATATCACTAGCTCTCTTACACACCATGTAAGAAAGCTATTATACTGCTGAAACAAAAATGCCAGAAGGATAATATTGATTCCTCACATCTTTCACTTAGTATTATACCTAGCATTTCAAAACCCAAATGGCTAGAATATGTTTAATTAAATTTCACAATATAAAGTTTGACAATTAATTTTATGCATATTAAAATGATTTGTAGCTTCAAACTCTCTTTCCTGAATAACCTTAAGAATTTTTTCTCTCAAAAAATACCTGTATTCTACTTTTAGTTGCATATGTATGTTTATGGCCACTCATAAAAAAAGGTATCTTTTTATTTATTTTTTTTTTATTTTTTTTTCAACGTTTATTTATTTATTTTTGGGACAGAGAGAGACAGAGCATGAACGGGGGAGGGGCAGAGAGAGAGGGAGACACAGAATCGGAAAGAGGCTCCAAGCCATCAGCCCAGAGCCTGACGCGGGGCTCGAACTCATGGACCGCAAGATCGTGACCTGGCTGAAGTCGGACGCTTAACCGACTGCGCCACCCAGGCGCCCCAAAAGGTATCTTTTTAAAATGAACTAGGTTTTGAGGGGCACCTAAGTGGCTCAGTCAGTTAAGCATCTGGGTTAGGAGAATTCTTGCCTGGACCCAGAAATATTAGGATTTTCAAAAGGAAATTGTTTAATTCCAGGAAAGAAATTGTTGTACTTTCTGTAGACAAATGATATTATTATTATAATTTAAAAAATTACAAAACTGCATTTACTAACTGGCATGGCAACTAAAGACATCCACGAATAAATTAATCGAGTAGTTCAGTAAAGAGGAGAAGTCAGAGATTTTAAGTTCCAGAAAAGGGCACTGCAAGTTGATTGTGTTAATTAAGCATTGAAAACTGACACCCAGGATAGGACAAAGTGAGTTCATAGATCTGTACATTGTTGGTTAAAGCATGTCCCATTGTTCATTGGCCATAAGGATGTTCATAGTTAGAGACAGTGTGGTTTTGCCATCCTCACTCAAGGTCATTCAGAGTTCAGGCTACCTTATCATCTTCAGCTGGTTAGAGGGAGTCATTATACAAGTCAAGTCAGTTTTGATAATCACTTCAGTGCTGCTGTAAATGGATATTTTTGCTTTATAGTTCTTCCTTCATCCTGTGATGGAAGGAAGGAAGGAAGGAAAGGAAAGGAAGGAAGGAAAAAAATACCACAAATAATAGGTGAATGAGCAGGCATTTCATTCCACACCACCATCTTTGTTTTGGGTGCCATTCTTCCAGGATCCATTATGTTTTTCTGAATCATTTGAGCCTCCTTTCGATGTAGAACCCTCTGAGATATGAAATGAGATGATGCCTGTTCAACATCATTAAAGACCCTTTAAAGATATTCTTGATGAGACCAATAATTAGGAAAACATGATTATGTTTATAGAATACCTATAACCTGCCTTTAATGACATGCTCCAGTCATCTGAAAAGATCATGTGGATCACTTTGTCCTACCTTGGACAATCAATTGATTTGTTCTTGAATTTTATTGACACAAGCCTTGGCTTACTCTGAAACTTTTACCTAAACGCAACAAGGAGAGTCAACCAGCACATAAACTCCTTCGTGTTTGCTCTGTAAATAAACTATTATGAATCCACTGTGTCTAGCACCATTGCCGGAAGTTAGGTTAAGGCTTTTGGAGAAAACACTGTGTAGCAGCGTCTATACAATTTCTCTTACTATGAATGCCATTTAAAAGGCAGTTTCAGTGCAGTATTTTAATCCAGGGACCCCAAGCCAAGGGAGAAACTTCTGCATAAAATAATGGAAACTAATACTTCTGAATAGATCTTGCAGATTTACATTTCAGCAGGCTCATAGATGAAAAAAGTTTTGATTGTCTCAGATACTAACAGTACAGAAGTATTAAAACCTCAAAATGGCATAAACCCTTCCCAGAAGCAGAGTATGGGGAGATATTAGCATAAATTCACAAAGCCATGGAGGTTATCACCTAATTCTGGTAAAATTTTAAGGTACATTTTTCAAAAGTATGAGGGAAAATTATGTCTAAGGTCACAACTGAACAACTGGAATTATTCCAACCAGTATCACAAGACTCAGCTTGATCAATTATTTAAGTGAAAACATTATTATTTCTTGTGGTGTGGAACTCTCTACAAGATTTTGCATTATAAGGTTTATTGCAAATTGATCATCATTTATGGTTTGGTATCCATGTAATACATATAAGGATTAAGGTAACAAGTCACATACCTTAAAAAAATACCATTATAACTGATTTTGTTTCTCAAGTAAGTTGGCTGCTGAACATTATTAGCATGAAGGCAAGGTAATTAGTTTCTGACCAATCAGAAATTAAATTTCATGGATAAATCTTAACATAGTTGCAGCTGTGACATTTTTAGCAGAATATTCAAATAAATGGGACCTTCCTGACATTGCTAAAGAAAGAGGACAGACTCATCAGCTAGTAAAATTCTTGTTGTGCCTGTAGCCTTACTGAATTGAGCAAAAGTATTCTCTTTACAAAGAGTTTGTTTTAAAATGAGGATGGTAAGAGCGGCGCTTGGGTGTCTCAGTTGGTTATGTGTCCAACTTTGGCTCGGGTCATGATCTCATGGATCGTGAGTTCGAGCTCCTTGTCGGGCTCTGTGCTGGCAGCTCAGAGCCTGGAGCCTGCTTTGGATTCTGTGTCTCCCTCTCTCTCTGCCCCAGTACCACTCACACTCTTTCTCTGTCTCTCTCAAAAATAAACATTTAAAAAATTTTTAAATGAGGATTGTAAGAAAAATAAGGCATATGTATTTTTAAACCAAACATACTTAATGTAAATGTAAACCAGCAATGCTATTTATCAATACAATCTCGGTAGAAACTTGAGACTGTTAAAGAACAAAGTGAACACCAGATTTTAAAATACACACACACAGGTAGGTACACACATACACACATACAGGACTATTCTATTCATGTCCAGCAGGTGGTCACATTGAAGAATTCCCTGAACAGTCCCAAGATAGGAGAAAAACAGGAGGTTTGGAATACAGACAGTCCCCTACTTATGATGGTTTGACTTACAATATTTTGACTTTACAATGGTATGAAACCAATAGGAATTAAGGAGAAACTGTACCTCAAATTTTGAATTTTGATATATTTTCCCAGGCTAGCAGTATCTGTACAATGCTCTTTTGTGATGCTGGACAGTGGCAGCAACCCGTAGGTCCCAGTCAGCCCCACAATCAGGAGGGTGAACATTTACAAAAATTCTGTACCCAGTCATTCTGTTTTTCACTTGCAGTACAGTATTCAATAAATTACATGAGATATTCAACACTTTATTATAAAATAAGCTTTCTGTTATGGAGTGCATGGGTGCTCAGTCAGTGACTGACTCTTGATTTCGGCTCAGGTCATGGTCTCATGGGTTTGAGCCCCACATTGGGATCTGTGCTGGTGGCACAGGGCTTGCTTGGGATTCTCTCTCTTCCTCTCTGTGCCCCTTCCCTGCTCCTCCCCCTCCTCTCTCAAAATAAATAAATAAATACACACAAAAAATAAGCTTTCTGTTAGACAATTATAGTCAACTGTAGGCCAATGTAAATGCTCTGAGCACATTTAAGATGACCTAGACTAAGCTAGGTCAATAAATTCAGTGTTTTAAATACATTTTTGACTTATGATATTTTCAACTTAAAATGGGTTTACTGGGATGTAACCCCATGCATGGTAAGTCATGGAAGATCAGTGTTAGAAAAGAAGAGTGCATGGTGGTCATATGATGGCCATCTAATTATGCATTAGACACTAATGTGAAATGTATATTTTGTTAATACATATTTATTGTGTATTAATATACAATTATAAAAATATTATGAAATTATATAATAGACAATATATCTTATATTAGGACCAATTCTGATGAAACACAATAGTCACTTTGACATACCATTGACAAGAGCTACTGTAATTGTAAAATATTTTACTTATAAATTTATTGAAGAGACTCATAACAGACCAATTATATTGTCAAATACTTTGTGAAGGATGTTGTCAATCAAAATGCAGGAAGGGCATTACAGGTTGTAGGGCATAGAAAAAGTAAAACTTTTATATAGCCAAGCCACAAATCTAATTCTATATCCCAATGTGAACAACATCTAAAATTACAATTTTCCTGAAAAGAAAGAAAGAAAAGGAAGGAACAAGGAAGGAAGGAGGTTAGGAAGGCAGGAAGGCAGGAAGGCAGGAAGGAAGGCAGGAAGGAAGGAAGGAAAGAAGGAAGGAAAGAAGGAAGGAGAAAAGGAAGGAATTCCTCAATTAGGCCATAGCTTCCATGAGTTCAGCTTACCTTGTTCTGTCTTATCCTTGGTCCAAAATCTCACCATTAGAGTTACCAATCAATGAGATAATAAAGCAATAGAAGTGGCATAGTTATATTAGAGGTGAATTTTAACACCAATAGCCATACACACCTAACACAAAACTTACTTACCTCACCAAAGAAGTCTGGTTTCTTCTCTATGCATTGTCCATTTTCATAGGACTTTACAATTTACAAACCTACTTTAACCCTTTACAATTGCCCTGAATGTTGGAAAACCTGAATTCCCAAGGCAATTAACTGCCAATGTCTTGATGTTATGAGATTCATCACTGGATTCCCAACTAGGAACTGCATGCACAATGCCACCACACTGTGTGGTGCTTGTTGACTCAGTGGATAAATGAAAGGATAAGAAACAGTGGAGGTGATGGGTCCCTGGGTGGCTCGGATGGTTAAAAGTCCAACTCTTGATTTCTGTTCAGGTCATAATCTCACGATTAATGGGATCGAAGCCTGCATCATCAGGCAGACAGTGTGAAGCCTGCTTGAGATTCTCACTCTCTACCTATCTCTCTATCTCTCCCTCACTTGTGCTCTTTCACTCTAAAAACAAGTTAATTTCTGTTACTTAAAAAAAAAATATTTA